AGGTAATGTATTGTATAATAAATAATATATAGAGAATTTATTCCGTAATGCCACAATAAAGGAACTGGCAGTAATAAAAAAAAAAAAAAAAAAAAAAAAAAATATATATATATATATATATATATATATATATATATATAAATAAAGGTTAATAAAAGATTGTTTTTTTTAATGCAAATCAAAAGCTTTAAAAAACAGAAACTGTTAATTTACAGATATTTTTACAGAGTATATTCCCACTTTCGCAAGTCATGACCCAAATCTTTGTAAGTGTGTTTAGAAAAATTTTATTCATTATTGATTGAATGAATTTCCAGTAAATTTGATTCAACCACATCTCTCTTTTGTGATAAAAAAGAAATAAAAAAAGGAAAAAACAAAACAATAAAACATCCCAAATAAAAATGCTCAAGATTGCAGAATCAAGAAGTAGGTGAGCATGAACAATACATTTTTGCATTTAAAACACCCCCAAAATAAAACAGAATATAAACATTGTAATAGCGGAAACACAAAGACTTCTCTCAGATTTCTCTCTTAACTAATCAAAATCAACATCAGTGAGAATATCCATCGTTTTTTTTTTCACAGCGATGTGTAAAACACTAGTTCAGTCAACTCTTCAAAATCTCCCGGCGGTATAAATGTTAAATGTCTCACTTGAACTTTACAAATCTTTTACTGCTTATAAAATACTGCTCTCACATGAGGCCATAAAGGACCGCAGTGTTCGGTGCCTAATAAAACATGTCAAGGAAATGGAAAGAAAAAGCCAGAGAAATACAAGCGTTTCGATGGCCACACAGTGTGTCATATTTGGCGGTACAATGGCAGTGTGAAGGGGGGAAGGCTGAACAGGTAGAGCTGTTTATGTTGAGCTGGAAGCCATGTTTTGAACGCCTGCAGTGAAGAAGCCAAGAGCTCAGAAAGGTCAGCTTGGCCTCGATCAATGATATCTCCACAAACATCATCTCGAGGAGTGTGTACAGGACAGAACAGCCTGTGTTTCTACTGTTTTTGGATCATGTGGCTGTTTCGCTCCCTTTTCTTTGTTAGGTTTATTAAACGAAAACTGCAAGGGATGGTTCAATACAAAATGAAAATTCTGTTATCATTTACTGAGCGTTGGTCTAGAACTTTGCTTTCAGTATGGAGCACAATATTATTTTCTGAAGAACCAAAATAAGTTTGTAATCAATGTATAAAAAACATATTAGAACATATATATATATATATATATATATATATATATATATATATATATATATATATATATATATATATATATATATATATATAAACTCAGTATTCCAATATATAAATTAGAAGTGACAGAAGTTCTGACCTTTTTTCCCCCTCAGATTTGGAGTTTATAGGTTCATTGGAGGTTTATATCTTCCAGTTCTAATGCTTTTTTCTCAGGATCTCTATATATAACATTAGAATTTGAAATATAAACCCATAAAACCCAAAAGGTCCTGAATTTATTTGGTAACACTTTACAATAAGGTTCATTAGTTAATGCATTTACTAACATGAACTAATCATAAACAACACATGTACAGCATTTATTAATCATAATTGAACGTTTACTAATGCATTATTAACATCCAAGTCCATGCTTGTTAACATTAGTTAATGCACCATGAGTTAACATGAACTAACAATGAACAACTGTATTTTCATTAACTAACATTAACTAACATGAACAAATACAGTAGTAGATGTATTGTTCATTGTTTGTTCATGTTAGTAAATCCATTAATTAACAATAACTAATGAACCTTATTGTAAAGTGTGACCATTTATTTTTTGCACCAAATTGCAAGTTTTTCTCGCAATTATTTTAATATTTTTTTCTAGTTAACTTTCCCCCATCAGAATTGCAGATATTACCTTGTGTGAAATGAACTTATATACAGGTTTTGCATATATGCAGGTTTCACCAAGACAAATTAAAGACTTTAAGACCATTAAGAATGAAAATTTAGATTTATAGAAAAAAACCCTAAGGTTTTTTTTTTTTCTAATGGCCAGTGGAAAATATTTTTACTTGCCCCATTAAAATTCAAACACGTATTTTCTGAACACATAAACAAATGATATTGAAAAAAAAAAAAAAATTAAACCAAATTGGTAAATAGAGTAAAAAATGTCACTTTTGTTAAACGTTTTTCTTTTTTTAGATTGTTGGTTGTACCAATTAAGTAGCTTTACATAGACAATGGAAAATTAAGACCTGTTTAAAATTATTTAAGTCTTACAACACAATATTTCAGTCAATGTAAAAGTTTTTAAGGCCTAAAATATTGTTTTTAAAATGTAAGACAATTTAAGACCATGCGGACACCCTGTATATAGCAACTCAGGTTTTTATCCTTGTCAAGATTATGGATTTATTTTTCACAATTGTCAGTTTAGACGTTTTTGAATTTCTAACTTTATTTCTCACAATTCAGAATGTATAATTTCCAATTTTAATTATATAAGTTAAAAACTGCAAGATACACGCATTCACAAATTTGAAAAGTTAATTTTGAGATGTAACCTTTTATTTATCTCTAGTTTATAAATCAAAATTGCGGGGAACAAAGTTACATTTCAAAAGTCAAAATATATTAAATGCTGCATTTCATTTTCATTTTTTTGTACAACAGAAATGTTTCAATAGAAAGAGACGCAAGTAAATGATGGCAGAATTTTCACTTCAGACTGAACTGTCCCCCTGCAAGTCAAAAAAAGCCTTAATGGAGTATTTTTTTAACCAGATGACTGACATTAGGATGTGGCAGACAGTTTTAAATATTCTACATGGACGTACAGTGGTAGCTTTTTAGTTTGTCGTAGTTTTTTGTCACAGCACCACCATTATCACAAAGGCTTTCCTTAAATGAGATCCGGCGGTTTGTGTTGGGGACAGGCTAGTTCATTACAGCCAATTTGCCCACTGCTGAGCTCAAACTCAACTCCTTTACCAGGAATTGCTCGCAATGAAGTGGCAATCAAAACATGTGGCGTCTCGCTCCACGGTCCCGATGAGGTATGGCGCCTAAAACCAGGCGTAGCAGCTATGCAAAGTCCATGAGGTGGGGAAATCACAGAGCAAGATAATCAACAAGTTCAGTTCAGCTATGCTCTACCGATCGACAACAAATCAAACGTAATCCCTCGCTCACTTTCAGATTTACATCAGAGTATTTACACTATCGACAGGCCGTTAAATGAGCTGATATGTTTCATCAGTAAGGAAATAAGCAACGTTGAATCTTTTGTAAGATCTTGCTCATTACCCAGCAAACAATTTTCTGTTTAAAAAAGTAATCGACATCTAAATGTAGAATCCCTGGTTGAACCTAGGATCCAGGAGGAACAATGCGGTTTTCGTTCGGGCCGTGGTACACTTGACCAGCTCTATACCGTCACCAGGGTGTGCGAGGGTTCATGGAAATATACCCAACCAGTCCACATGTGTTTTGTGGAATTGGAGAAGACATTCGACCCTGTCCCTCGTGGCATTCTATGGAGGGTGCTCTGGGAGTATGGGGTAAGAGGCACTCTGTTAAGGGCTATCTTGTTCCTGTGTGAACAGAGTAGGAGTCTGGTTTGCATTGCCGGCAAAAGGTCAGACTTGTTTCCAGTGCATGTTGGACTCCAGCAGGGCTGCCCATTGTCACCAATTCTTTTCATAATTTTTATTAACAAAACTTCAAAGCGCAGCCTTGGGCTGGAGGGGGTCTGATTCGGGGACCACAGGATTTCATCTGTTATCTGCAGACGATTTTGTTCTGTTGACGTCATCGAACATGGATCTTCAGCATGCACTGGGGCAGTTTGCTGCCGAGTGTGACGTGGCTGGGAGGAGAATCAGCACCTCTAAGTCTGAGGCCATGGTGCTCCACCGTTTGCCATCTCCAGGTTGGAGGAAAGCCTTCACCCCAGGTGGAGGAGTTCAAATATCTTGGGCTTTTGTTCACAAGTAAGGGAAGGATGGAACGTGAGATTGACAGGCGAATCGGTGCAGCGGCAGCAGTAATGCGGTTGATGTACTGGTCCGTCTTGGTAAAGAAGGAGCTGAGCAGAAAGGCAAAGCTCTCGATTTACCAGTCAATCTACATTCCTACTCTCACCTATGGTCATGAGCTGTAGGCCATGACAGAAAGGACAAGATCTAGGATACAAGCAGCCAAAATGAGTTTTCTTCGCAGGGTGGCAGGGCACACCCTTATGGATAGGGTGAGAAGCTCTGTCACCCGGGAGGAGCTCGGAGTAGAGCCGCTGCTCCTTCACATCAAGAAAAGTCAGTTGAGATGGCTCGGGCATGTTTCATATGCCTCGTTGACGCCTAACTTGGAAGGTGTTCCAGGCATGTCCCACTGGGAGGAGGCCTCGGGGAAGACCCAGGACATGCTGAAGGGACTATGTCTCTCGGCTGGCCTGGGAACGCCTCGGGATCCCCCCAGAGGAGCTGGAGGAAGTGTCTGGGGAGAGGGAAGTCTGGGGTTCTCTCCCAGGACTGCTGCCCCCGCAACCCGGCCCCGGTAAAGCGTTTGAAAATAAATGAATAAATGTAGACAGCTTGGCTAAAACAAGGCTAAACTTGTGCTGTCAGTGAAAATCTAAAAGACATCTAAGAATAGCCCAAAACTAGACTAATTATCAAATTAGACAGACTATATAAGTGTAGTCATTCATTTCTGTTTATTTGATGACTAGTCCAGTTTTGGCATACTCTTAGACGTCTACTAGATTTTCACTGACAGCCCAAGTTTAGCCTTGTTTTAGCCAAGACGACAATGTTTAGACGTACATTATACATCTATTAGACATAAAAAATGCTTGCTGGGTATTTTACTTCTATTTTGTAGTAAGTATAAGGGAAAGGAACTTACAGAAATGCTGTATTTGTCATTTCATTTAAAAAAGGAGAGCTAATCTTGGTAAAGAAAAATCAAGACAACATTGCTGAACACTGATATGAACTAAAATATTGCACACTCAGACAGAAGTAAACATGTTTTTATAATATTGGCACAGCGCGAGTGTCCAATCGGACACGAGACTTCTGGTATTTATTTTTTTTAAGTGTTTTTTTTTTTATTCATGACACAAACGAACACTGTCCCTCCCCCCAAGAGTTCCACAGGCATGTTATTGCAGCACATTTCCCCCTCTCTTTTTTTTTTGAACGTTTCCTTTTTCTTTAGAAAAGAGTTTTATTGGTGGCTATTCACTGAGAAGAGTCTTGGAGTGCATTTTGGCAGTACGGTTGTCTGTTGCGGGCGGGCAGACAGACAGAGGGGCAGACGGCAGGTGAACGGGAGGTCCGTGCGTTACATGTGACGCGTGCCGCTCCGTCAAGATGGTCACATGCCAGAGGCTCCCAGGCCCATGCTGGCCGCGTGGCTCATGCACGGCAGCGTCTGCACAGCTTTGGGGAAGTCATGTGTGACGATCCGCCCGTTCTCCCCACCGTTGCCGTTCCCGCTCATCCTGGTCAGCGTGGAGCAGTGCATGGCGTCGTTGATGGATTGCTGGGATGGAGACACAACAGTGTTAGACAGGAATACGGACACACCGCAGGACTGTTGCTCATTTTTAGTAGCAGACAGTAAAAGATGATTTAAGCGTCTGCCTAATGGAGTATGCACATAAAATGTTTTGTCATGTGATGGCTGGGTAATTAGTTCGACAGCATTTGTGGAGGTAATCTGCAGGCCTTTGCCAACAGATTTTGGGTTTCTTGACTGTAATTGATCAACATGGAGGCTTGGGGGGCGCAACACAATGCCTTTAGCAAAGCAAACTTACAAAACACTAATGAAACTATTTCTCATGTTGATGCATTTCAGTAAGCAATTCAGTAATAGACGTAGTTCTGTCTTAAAATTACACCAATAGCTCTACCTACATCTAAAAACTAAGCTATGCATTCAACTGACAGCAGGTTCCAATAGAAATTGGATTTCTGTTTTGCATTTTTCTAAAGTTATTTGCACAAAACTATGTTATGATCTCATAAACAATTAGAGCATGATTCTGAAACTGATGTGTTCAGTGTCATGAATCTGTAATAAAGATCTATGGTTGTTTCATTCATTCATTTTCCTTTAGCTTAGTCTCTTGTTTATCAGGGATCACTCCAGCGGAATGAACCACCAACTATTCCGGCATGTGTTTTACACAGTGGATGGCTTTCAAGCTGCAACCCAGTACTGGGAAACACCCACACACACACTCATAATCACACACACACTCATCCACTACTGCCAATTTACTTCTTCCAAATCATCTATACTGCATGTCTTTGAACTTTAAGGTTAAACCTGAAGCACTTGAAGCAAACCCACACTAACACACAGGGAGTACATGCAAACTTCACACACAAATGCCAATTGGCCCAGCCAGAACCCAAACAGTGACCTTCTTGTTGTGAAGTGATAGTTCTAACCACTGAGCCACAGTGCCGCCCACAATGCTATTTTACATTTGACCATTATAATTTTGTAGATTCCCCAGAAAAACGTAAGCACTGTTTCTTTCATTCGCACCTTTGTTCTGTTGTATTTGTCTATGCTTGTAATTTATTATATTTTATGCATATTAGCTCCTATACAGAATCCCCCCAATCATCGTAAATAAGGAATTCTTTCCAAATAGAACTATTTAAGGCTGTGCTTTTGAATGTATACAACATGCGTAAAAAGAAGGTATATTTTATGCTTGAAAGGACAGTTCTCCTCTAAAAAAGAGTGGAACATTAAAGTGTCATTTACTCATCCTTCACTTTTTTTGCCGTTGTTCTATTAAACATGAAAGTAGCATCACTGTGGCTCAGTGGTTAGCAATGTCGGCTCACAGCAAGAAGGTCGCTGGTTCAAGCCTTGGCCGGGTCAGTTGGTATTTCTGTGTGGAGTTTGCATGTTCTCCTGATGTTGGCGTGGGTTTCCTCTGGGTGCTCCAGTTTCATCCACAGTCCAAACACATGCATTAAAAGGCTGGAAGGACTGTGTAAAACATATGCTGGATAAGTTGTCGGTTCATTCCGCTGTGGCGACCCCTGATTAAACGGACCAAGCAGAAGGAAAAAAAATGAATGATTGAAAATTAAAAGAAACAAAAGAAAATATTTTGAAGAATGTTGGAAACTTTTAACCATTAACATCCATAGCTGGAAATACAAACATTATGGAAATCAGTGGTTACCGCTTCCCAACATGTATTCTTTTGTGTTAAACAGAAATTCAAACTGTCAAGTCAGGGGTGAGTAAATTATTTCTTTTTTTTTTTTTGGGTGAACTATCACTATAAAGAAAGTTTTTAGATGAAACCATGTTTCTTGGTTATTCATATAATGCAATTCAATGGTTACCATCACAATGAAACAACAAAATAAGCAAGGGAATGTTAAATCAATACCTGTGGCTCTTGATGATACTACAATTTTCATTCATTCATTTTCCTTCGGCTTAGTCCCTTTATTTTTCAGGGGTATCCACAGCGGAATGAACCGCCAACTTATCCAGCATATGTTTAACACAGCGGATGCCCTTCCAGCTGCAACCCAGTACTGGGAAACACCTCTCTCATTCACACAGATACACTACGGCCAATTTAGTTTATTCAATTCACCTATAGCGCATGTCTCAGGACTGTGGGGGAAACAGGAGCACGCAGAGGAAACATACTCAAACATGCAACTCAACACAGAAATGCCAACTGTGACCCAGTCGAGACTGTGGAAATATAAATTTTTATCATCTAATTTCAAATTAACAATAATCTACGTATAACTAAAAAGTTATATTCTCTGGTTTTTAATTACATAATTTCATTAACATCCCAGCTAGGAGGGACATTTCTGATTACAGGCTAAGCCAAAGTAATGCAAATTTTCAGTTTCACAGCATGGGGTGTCTATTGTTTTCTCTTTTCGATCAAATGGTCAGGCGGTTTCTGTCTCCAGAACATGATGAGATTAGACCTGAGAAGCAGTTTACCCTGCCGACCACAATGTCGGCAGGGTAAATTTAGCCATTGCATGCTTTGTTTAGCCATATCCCCTCCTCCTAAGAACACAATATAGCCATGAAATCTTTGTCTTAATTCAGACTAATTCAGACTTGTGTGAGACTTGTGAGAGACTTGTGAAAGAACTTGCAGACTGCGGACCTCTAGTAGGCTCTTGCAGACACATCTTAAAGACGCTGTATGACTGCAGATTAACCAACACGTCTCAATAAAGGAATTCTGCTTGTTCCGAGTCTCCTGGACTGGGTTCTCTCTCTTCTTTTTACTCATTCATTTATTTTTTTTACAACAAGACTTAAACCAGTGACCTTCTTGCTGTGAGGTGACAGTGCTAACCACTGAGCCACCGTGCCACCCTTACTACTATTTTATTAAGGAAAAAAAACGGGATTATATGATTAACCAAGGAATATGGTTAACTGTCATAATTAACTCACCCTTACTTTGAGTTTCTGTTTAAAACAAAAGAAGACATGTAGGGAAGCGGTAACCACTGACTTCCAACAATGTTTTTGACTTTAAACCTCCTTCTACAGGAAAAAGTCACCTTGTTTGGCATAAAAATAAGCAAATCATTTTCTTTTGGTGAACTATCCCTTTACTGAACCCTTCGTTCAGAATGATTTGCATTAAAGATATGCTGTGGGCCAACGCTGTTGTGTTGTCAACTATTTAATTGCTTCGCTAATGCATTGAGCGCCCCCCGGGACCACCATATTTATGTCCTCCAAACCAAAGCTGACACTGTAAAGCATCTCTGACATGCGAGTAGACAATAAACAGTCTTGATAGGCGTGTAACATGAGCTTAATTTGTTACGGTGATGTGCAAGTGAGAAATGTCATGGTTTTTATTGCTGCTGTTGTGATGAGAAACCCTACACTGTAGTCGCAGCCACTGGGCCTGAAACCAAGGCTAATGATGTGTCCCTTTAAATCGCATTTTTCTAGGAATGATTTCATTGGCCTACACTTCGACGCGTTGGGGGATGAAGTCATACAGGCTGATGCAGACTAATTAGTTTGCCTATAATGACTCGGATTCCCGCTCGCCTAAAATGAAATATGGACAGCTGTGAAATGTGACTCCTGTCAATTGAATTAACAAAGCAAATCTATATTAATCTGCGCTATTATGGTATTACACGAGTGTGTAATACCCAGCTAAACTTGCCACAAATCCTACTTCGTGTAATTGCCTGTCCAAAAGATACGTATTATAAAAATCGCACTGAGGTATCTGTATATGCAACTGGTGTTATGAGTTTTCTTGCAATGACGTTTCTTTGATTTTCAGTCTGGCGTCTAGATGTTTGGAAATTAAATAAATTATTGCCTGATAGACACTTTTAATCATCTCTGCATTAGCAAAGTACACGAGTTAAGATCTGACGTGGGTCTTATTGTACGAAGGAAAACACAAGCTGACTGATGCATAATCATGAGCCTAGACAGACTATTTTTGGAGTCATGGTGGAAAACAGAAAGCTGCAGTGTCTCCGGGGAACACTTGCTCTGTTTCATGAATGAACAGAGACACGATGCCTATTAAACAAAGCTCTAGTCTATGGACAGAGCGGGTAGCGAGCAAACTGAGGGGAGCAGAAAAAAGTGGGAGAGAAAGAAAGAGAATAGAATAGAAAGTACTAACTAGATCTGTCAAAGAGTTTACTTACACCAACGAGTGAAAGTTTAAATTAGATATAATGTTGAATCTATGCAATTAAGTTTGATTATAGATATAAATTAGGTATTATTAAGTAAACATAATAAATTAATAACCAAAGATCATATTACTATTTATCATAATGACTAATTCACACCAAGGACAACATATCTAAATATTAAAATATTGAGATAATGTTTCACAAAAACAATTAAGCCAAAAAAACACAGATATGATTTCTATATCGCTCAAGCACACCTCGAAGACTTTTAGGTCACTTCATGTGTGTAAATAATGCCTTTGTTCATAATTTGAGCCTGATTAATCTTGGCTTTTTTTTCTTTTCTTTTTTTCCATCTTGGATTATGGCCATTCCCAGCAGACACGCAAAGTCATAAGACATTACTATAAGGTTAGATTTAGGTCACCAGTGTGTAAGGACAATATTATTTTGATGTCCAATAGCAACATGAAATGACGTTGATAATTTGTTGATTTTAGATTGTGTTGGAAAGTGGCCAAAATCCAATGTTGAGATCCAACATCGTAAACTGTCATATTGATGTCAAATATAGATGTCTATTTGTCACTTATGGCAACCAAAGTCCAATGTCTGATAGACGTCATATTGGTAACGTTCACACTATGTCAAGCTTTAACATCATTAGATGTTAATATTTTGTTGTTGATTGGTCGAAAAGTAACCAAAAAGCGACATCTGTCAGATGATAGACATTGACGTTTAACTGATGCTGGGTTCTGATGTCAACGCCATTTTCATTTCCAAACAAAATGCAACGATTGTTGGGGAATTCATTGTCTCTTGATAAATTTATGATGAATGTATTACTCTCATTTATATGCTTATTTTAGTGATTTCATTATCATCATTATTATTATTATCTATTGTATTATCTATTGTAATAATACCCATACCTGTGGCATTATTATCAGGTATGTGTGCTTTGGTAAATAAAAAAGTCATTCTGTGTAAATGCAGTCAGAGATGAGAAGATAAATTAGAAGAGCAGCATTAATGTCACAATGAGGATAGATTCATGCATTTAAGCAAGGCCATAAGGACACCTGTGTTCTGTTCTGTAACTCATGATGAGGCACACCTGCACATGCGCCCACACTCATTTGTAATGACTTCTTAAAAATAAGAGTACCCATGAACTTCAGATGAACTTACAGTTGACAGCTCAGTAGACAGTGAACAAGATCATCACAAGTCATCACTTTTGAAACAGTAAGAAAAGACCTTAACTGGACATGGGTAAGACCCCTGAAAGACCCTGAGACTTTATTGGTCTTTATTGGACTTTATTTATTATATTATTTATTGCGGGCACCTGAGAGATTTGAGATCCTATTACTGGAGAAGCTAAGGGAGGTGTGTAATGTGTATATATGGGTGGAGTATTAAGCCAAAGAAGTGTATTTAAACTGTGTGCTAGCCTATACTCATCAGACACTCGAATGACCTGTCTCTGTTGTTTCTGATGCTGTAACAATAAACTGCTTTGCCTAAAGACTTCGGAGATCTCAGACTTGGTCATTTTTTGAAAACTTTGACTTATTTTGCGGACCAGAACCTTTCTTCCTCAACACATTCCACAACATTGGGGTACAACATCAATCTGACGCCATGCTTACATCTTGTGCCTGCTGGATTCAGACATACTTATTTAAGAAATTAATTAATAAATCAAACAGGGTTAAAAAAATTATGCTATCAATAATCAGCAATTATCATATCAATCATTCCAACAAAGCTTCAAACACAGACTCTAGTATTTGCTAATATTTTCAAGGCCTTTGACGAGATATCTTATAAATTAAGAGGCAAGCTTGTCAATGGGACAATAGTGTTTTTACGATAGTCCTAGGTATATCACAGTAAGAAAAGCCCAAATGGATGTCCTGAATGAGTTACAGGACTTCTTGTTCTCCTGTGAGCAGAATATAGAACAATCAGAGAAACTGTAGTTTAGATTTTACATAAAAATGAAGTGTTATAAACTTGTCATTGCTTCTTTATCAGGGCTTGCCACAGCAAAATGATCTGCATGCATAGAACTGGTTATCTATATCAGTTATATCTTAGTTACAGGTGCTGTATGTAAGTTTTTGACTCTTGTAAAGCATAAAAATACCATAATTGTTTGCAGATATTTAAGAAACATGCTTAGTAAACATTCTTTTTTTATCTGTAAAACAATGCTAAAGCCAGATATTCTGCTTTGAAAATATGTTACGTGCAAGAATGTCTATGTTTGTCTTGGTCTCTTTAACTTGCCCACTGCCAGTTTAGCCAATTCTATTTCAGCACCCCGGATTGCCTTATTGGAAAAACGCATATTTGATTAATTCATTCAGAAAGGCTCTCAGAGGATGCACCCGTGAAATACAACCTCTGGTAGACAGTAGCAGACTCCTAAATGAAACGCAAATTCAGAGTTTCACATGAGGTTATTAATTAGCAAATAATATAAATATTATGAACACAAACATTAGGTGAGCAGGTTAAATCGTAACCCTGTGTTCAAACAACATGCTACGTGATGAGATTTGCAGTGATAAGCAATTTGGCTGTTTGCACCAGATGAAACACGACAGAAATTTAAATACAGCCATTCAGAAGCACAGAATATGCACTCACACACGAAATGATAAGTTTTATAATCTAGTTAATACATAATAAACCTCTTTAACATTAATGTAGATGCTGAATTACTAATATGTGTTGGTTTTGAGTCACAGTTCTAAAGCTAAATTTTAAACGGTTTATTTTATTTTTAAGATCTGAGGTGAACTATCTGCTGCTGCTTTCAGTAGTATGGCAATAAATGTCATGTAAAATGGCATTAAAACTCACATTGAACACTGAATAAAGCACATGAGGTGTACCTGAGGTACTGGTCAAAGTTGTCTGTTGTTCAGCAGCAAGAAATAGAAGCCGTTTCTAATATATCAATTTGAGGACTTCAACAAAAACTCTTTTTAATATAGTAAATATTGCTTCTATCGGCTGCCATTGCTTTTATATAGAACACAACTTAAATCAGCCTTTAGGCTCGATAGTTAGGCTCGCTCCTGTTGGTCCTCAATGTGGCAACCTGTGCTTGCGTTTGTTTTGATCCAGGAATGCAATATTTAGTTCAACCACCGTGTGTCAAACTTACATACAGTACTCCATCCTTAATAAAAATACAGTTGCTTATTGTTAGTTTATGTCAACTCAGTATGCATTTACTAATGTTAACTTGCATGAATTTGGATTAATGCTGAACTATGATTAATAAATGATCTATTGTTCATAATTAGTTCATGTTAGTAAATACTGAAACTAAAATGAACTAAAGAAACCTTTGTGTAAAGTGGACATGTTTATATCTGTATATGTATGTATGCATGTTTTTATGTGTGTGTGTTTATTATATAATATATATCTTAAAAATGTATTAATTTAAAGAAGAAAAATGCATTTTTTTTTTCCTTTGGTCAAAAATGTTGCATTTTTCATTAAATGTAACTGCATTCAATTTGTGATAAAACATGAACACATAAAGATTAAATAAAATTATTTTTGTTTAAAAGAAGTGGCTTGGTTCTTAATTTTGATCTATTGATCTGCTATTCCTATAGCAGAAAATATGAAAACCATCAAAAATGCTGGCGGTGGCTGGTGTAACTTAAAAAAGGAAGCTAGTGGGGAAAGATTTAAAAGAACAGCAAAGTTGTTGTTTTTTAGCAAGGCAATTATAGGTCAGTATTGTTATAATACTGTTATCCTTGGTGTGAATGACCCTTTAGAGCAGGGGTCACCAATCCTGGTCCTGTAGGGCCGGTGTCCCTACAGGGTTTTGCTCCAACTTGCCTCAACACACCTGCCTGGATGTTTCAAGTATACCAAGTAAGGGCTTGATTAGCTTGTTCAGGTGTGTTTGATTAGGGTTGGAGCTAAAATCTGCAGGACACCGGCCCTTCAGGAACAAGTTTGGTGACCACTGCTTTAGAGTTTATCAAATGTTTTGACAGCCTTGCACTTTCACACTAAAGGTAAGAGAGACAGAATAAGAGAAGAGCAGAGAAGAAAAGGATGGATCTGGAAGTGGGCAGCAGAAGCTTTGAATCTTGCGACGGTTAGATGATGGGCGCAGGTTAGGCTCTGTGTGGGCAGCATGTGGCCTAGTTTTTTACACACTAGAAGTTTCCTACCCCAGAGAGCTTTATATCTTAACAGTGTCTGGCGAGTACAGGCCGTAACTCTGCAGCTCAGTGTAGCTGCTGTCTAAGGCGGTGCAGTGAAAGGCCTGAGCGGACACCTTCATTCTGCGAGACTCTGTCCTGGATTTATAGCAGAACTCCACCAGAGCCACCAGCATGGCCAGACCCAGACCGCCGATCAGGATGTAGAAAACCCCAGCCACGTTACTGAGGCTAAGAGCACTCGTCTTGTCCTGCAGGAGAGGGAACACTGTTTTAGAAGAGGATTTACAAGGTTGACAAATGCACAAGGACACAGACAATACATGCCTTACTGTTAATTACATTTATGCACTCAATCAGACATCTAAACACACACTGAGTAAGTTAAAATAAGGCCTAATGTGACAAATATATTGCTAGGATCATTTGCTTCAATTGTTTGCTGCTGAAAGATGCCCTTTATATATTATGAATATATTGTCTGTAGATGAAAATTAGCATTATAAGAAAATTCACTAACTGCTAAACTTATCTCGCATTTGAATAATCATAAAGAAATAATATTTATTTATTAAAATATACAGTTAACTGATATAAATCATATCACAATTAATAAAATCTTAAATATAACCAATTTAGAATACATGTTAAATGGAAATAATGAAAAAACTTCACCTTATCGCTCTCTCTCTCACACACACACACACACACACACACACACACACACACACACACACACACACACACACACACACACACACACACACACACACACACACACCAAGACAGACAAACAGATAGACAGACACATAAAAAGTAAAAAAAAAACAAAAAAACCCCCAAAAACACACTGTAATCTAAATATAATCTGTAATCTAACCATAAAATCAGAATTTTAATACAAAACAACTTTAAATTATTCATAAACTAATCAATGAAACTAAAAATAACACCAAAACAAATATTAAAGTGTGGCACAAACTGTCATATAATACTGATTTAATTAAGAAACATGCATTCATGCACTAACACAGGCTGTCTGTGTTCACCTTCGACTCATTTAGCACTAATTAAACCTGCTTTTTAGCATCTCTGCTAATTTACTATACACACAAGCATCCCGTATCACAGCTGTAAGTTATATTTTCGTGGTTGGCACCCATGCAGCACAGGTTGTGAATCTAAAGAGATTGAATAGCTGTTGAATTGTTACAATAACAGTGCTAGGAGCTGAACTGGTGTGGAACCACTTATCTATACTCCTTTTCCTTCAGCATGAAACAGGTGCTAGGTTCAGAGCTAGTGCTATTGCTGGTTTAGAGTTAGCTCTACTAGTGAGCCTTCTAAGCACTGGTTTACTTTTCCATTGAAACACACCATTTACCCACATCACATAAATAGTTAACTATATGCAACAAATAAAACATGATTTAATTTTTAACAATAATTTCATTTGTTATGACAATGTTATACATTGTTTATCTTTAACGGGTTAAAGTAAAAAAGACTGTAAAAATAAAAGAAGAAATCCACTATTTCTCTTACTTTTACACTATTCAGGAGCCATGTGCATCCACTGACAGGTAAAAACTTCTTACGAGTAGTGTAGTGTAGGCTTGTGTGTGGTTTCTCTCTTGCGCTCTCGCGCTCCTTCTTTCTCTTTCTCTCGCTCTCTCTCTCTTTCTCACTCTAAGTATTCGCAGGTGCAGCGGATTACGTTGGGACGGACCATGATTGGCGGCGGCTATAAAAACCTGCAGAGAACATGGGTTCGATGGCTCCCCGCTCTCTCTCGATTTCCCCGCTTGTACTCAGTGGAGAACGTGATCCTATGAGTGTTTGCTTGTATATTGAGATGCCGTTGTGTTAATTTTTAACCGGTTATTGAAACCCGGTTTACTGTCTCCCTGTCGGGCTTGGAGCATGTAGGGAGGTTTGGTGCCTTATTTGTTATTTTTGTTTTCTTCTGTGTTTGTTAGTAGGGAGGTAAGTTTTCTGTATTTTATTTTATTTGTTTTCCAGGGAAGTTTAATCTAATTTAGTTAGCTTGGTTTATTGTCATTTATTTTGGCTGAACCCCTCCTGATGTTATTTTTGCTCCTTATTTCTGTAAATGAATCATACTTTCTTGTTAATTCTTAGTGGTTGTGTTTTTGGTATATTTTGGGGAGAGAGAGTGCGGGGGCACCAGGGATTATATTTTTAATCCCTGTTATTTTGTTACGTTTTTGGTTACATCTCTTTTTGATTAAGGATTTTTAATTTAATTCGTAACACTTTCAAAATCAAAGCAAACTTAAATGCCAAAGCGTTTTAGATATGTATATAACATAGCCTGTGTAATATAGTACAAAGTCATTATCAAGTGAATAAAATATACAGCAAATGAGAAATAAATGACAGAAGGTAATAAAAACAGACAAAGTCTCTAAAAATGATCCTAATTACAAGATTAAAACGTGTAGCTTATTTAAATAAGGCAAATGCAAAAAATTTGCAGCCAGTTTAGACCAGTCATTTCATCCTCTCCAAGTATATAGTAAAGTTTTTCATAGTCGTTTAGATTCAAGAATAAATTATTGAACGTTTCTCTTGCTCTCGCGACTGTGTATGCGCAGTCAGCTGCGAAGCCAAGCGAAAGTAGGCTTAAAGGTGCAGTAGGTGATCTTTCACAATGCTAACAGCTTAGCATAAATCTCTGAATCACTGATTCAGGTTTTTAAAAAGTTTTAATTCAGCAGGTTTTAACCGATCGCGCGCGCTCTCTTGTGAATGTGCAGCACAAATGGCGGTCGGCGGAGCTGTGTGTAAAAGGCTGCGCAGTTGTTCAAATTTGCATTTGCTCACAGACAGTTTGGCCTACTTATCGGAATTATGAGAGATGTCGGTCCGACTCTATTTAATTGGATGAACAATTTTTAGTTTTATGCCTTACCCAAAAATATAAAAATACATATAAATACATTTAAATCATTTGCTTTAATCATTACTATTGAAATGTGAAGAGACTTTTAACCAGCACAACAAAAAATGCTTCTGAAAACAATCACCTACTGCACCTTTAAGTAAAAAGATAATGCAAAAACGCATACGTTTAATGAAAGACAGCTTTAGAAATCAATAGCCAAATCCAAGACATTTTAGGATTTTGAGAAACCTGGCCGGACAAATTTTTTAAGAGCCAAAAAGGCATGCCTGTGTGGGTCTGCGGTGCAGGAATGCTGACAGTTCATGCGCACACAGAATGAAACGGATAAACAAGAGATGATTTTCCATTACATAATTGGTCGCGGATGTTTGGTTATATTTGGCGAATACAAAATAGTTTAGAAGGATGATAATAATAGTAAAAAAATAAAAAGTGTCACAATATACTTCGGTGGCCCTGACACTAAACATACTATTTTCCATGCTATTTGAATTACTTTCAAATTAATTTAATCTGAGGTAACAAAAATTAATTCAGTGCTATTTACAAACAACAAAAATAAGTGCATGGTTTTACACAGCTAAATTTGAACATGTTTGTATTAAATGTCTTATTTATGATATATAGGGAAATTTCCTGATTTTACTGTAAATTGGCTAACAAGGTTTGCCAACAGGGCTGGCCCCAAAAAAGCACTTCTCTATCATATTCAATGCAATCTCTCTGTAATTCGTAACTTTTTGATTTAGTGCCTAATTAGTATGAATTTGTACGGTCAAATTCATACAATTTAGTATGATTTACTCATCACCCAATGACGGTTGGGTTTAAGGGTGGGGTTAAGTGCCACACCTCCTTTTTAAAATCGTACATTATCACACGACTGAACTCGTACGAAATTGTACGAATTAGCCACTAAACGGACAAACTGCAAAATACTTACTTTTCTCGTAAGATTAGGCTGTCATATCTGGTCCATTCTATTTAAATGTTCACCTGGATCCCAGTTATGTACACCCCTGCTTATGTCACTGAATATCTCTCATCTTTCCCATCATTGATAATGTTGAAGCTAACGGTGAATGTTATATTGCTGTTAATGTTCCTGGGTTTTGTGAACCTCTAGAAGCATCCAAACACAGCGAATACTACATGTTTGTGCAGCTCATTATCATTTGTATTGACGTGATTACAATTACAACATTTTAGTGGATTTTTATGTAGTTAGTATTAGTGGAGATTAATATGTGAGAATAATTTATTTTGTTTAGCTGCGGTTTGACATCAAAAGTTCTTGTCCAATCTGCTGGTCATGATCAAGTTCTTTCTTTTAAACCAGCATTGTTTTGATGCAACTTGCAATAATTTTTCTTGGTTGATAACAGATGCTTTGAAAAATAAATCTAATCTGAAACTATAGGCTCTGAACCATCACACAAACAGCCTTGGTGGAAAAGGGGTATATAAGTGGTATAAGGTGATGCAGTGTGCGCACCATGCAGGTGGGTTTGGTTTGGTGTGGTGGGGGTGTGTGGCGGTCAGACAGCTGTCCACTGGGTTTGCATCCAAACATGCACACTCCAAGGGCAGACAGGAGGGAGAACACAGAGGCTGAGGACCACAAGAGAGGCTGGGCTCTTATAGATGATCAGAGTCTCTCTCCACAGCTCCATTCAGACCAACAGGCTATTTCAAACACAGTGACTCATCCAGGATATAATAATGGCCTTCACAACTCCTGGAGCTAGACGTACTATTATTTACACTTGAATTAATCATATAAAATGATTTCTTTCTTTCTTTCTTTCTTTCTTTCTTTCTTTCTTTCTTTCTTTCTTTCTTTCTTTCTTTCTTTCTTTCTTTCTTTCTTTCTTTCTTTCTTTCTTTCCTGCTTGCTTCCTTCCTTCCTTAAACACTTTTTGTTCTTTTTCAAAATAAAAGGGCAAATGAAGGGGAAACTGTCAGTATCCAATAAAGTTAGTGTTTAAAGATGCATTTATAAATAATTACTTTGTAACTATAACACTAAAAAGCTGACCTCCCACCACTAAAAGTTGTTCTTATTTAAAATACTATAATACATTATTAAAATATGATTAAAGCTTACAATATTTAACAAGTAAAATTTTTCCCCAATCAACCAACCAACCAACCAACCAACCAACCAACCAACCGATCGACCAACCAAACTGAACAACCAACCAACTGACCAACCAACCAACCAACCAACCAACCAACCAACCAACCAACCAACCAACCAACCAACCGACTGACCAATCGACGGACCAATGAACCAACCAACCAACCAACCAACCGACAAACTAACCAACCAACCGACAGACCAACCAAGCAAAAAACCAACCAACTAACCAATTAATCAACCCATCAACCGACCGACTGACCAAACAATCGACCAAACAATTGACCAACCAACTGACAGACAAAACAACCAACCAACCAACTAACCAATCAATCAACCAACCGACCAATCAACCGACCAATCAACTGACCAACCAACCAACCAACCAACCAACCAACCAATAAACTAATAAGCCAATCAACCGACCGACTAACTGACCAACCAACCAACCGACTAACCAATAGATCAACCAACCAACAGATCAACCAACCAACAGATCAACCAACCAAGAAACTACCTGACAGACCAACCAACCAACTAACTGACCAACCAACCAATCAACTAACCGACCGACAGACAGACAGACCGACCAACCAACTGACCGATCAATCAATCAGTCAATCTTGATGGTTATAACACTAAAACATGCAAGACATAACAGATCACAATTCTGTAATTTGACTAAGCAAAGGAACGGAAAACAAGAATTATAGAATTATAAGAATTTAATCTGACATTTTTGTAAAAATTTAGTTATTGACATTCTTATTAAATGACAACTTATTTACATTATGGGATGTTTTTTATAAGTTGTTTACATAATAAGACTTTTATTTCAAAAACAAATGTTACACACATACTGCTTGCTATATGGAATGCAAAAACTTTAAAGCTCAATATCTCAAAATCATTCAGAATGCAGATAGAACCTTATAATTTCAAGGTGACAAATTCTAGTCAGTAAAGGTAGTAAACTTTTTTTAGAGTATGACTGTCAAACCAAAAAAAATTTTTATCAAATGAAATGAAATAAATAGTAAACTGACACACTCACTTTCAATAGGAAAAGGCTATAGTTATAGCATACCAAAATACTTGCCATAGTAACATATATAAGTATTCTACTCTACACAAACCCCAGACCATGTGTATTATTCTTATTTCCAGTACACTGTAAACAATCTAAACACCTTTAAAAGTGTCCCCTGCCAGCCCGAATGAAAGAATGCAGCCATGGAGAGAGAGTAAGAGCCGCCCCATGTCCAGACTCCTCACTGAACCTTCTGAATAGGGTGCTAAACCGAGGAAGGCTAAACTGAGGGGGAACAGAGCAGGACCAAATGTGTGAACTGACCTTTCTTCCGGAGTCCTTGCTTCCACACTCCCCCTTATCGTACCACCATTTGTTTTTCAGTTTGTCTAAGACGGCTTGCTCACTGAGTTTCAACACCGCTAGGTTAACTGGGATTCTTCAACCAGGAAAATAACATAAATAACATTATCCATGTTATTTTATGTTATTGAGCACACATTAAACACATTACCCATCAATATCAACTCAACTCTTCTGTGTTTGTTTGTTTGTTCTTGTTTTTTAATTGACTTCACACATATCAGAAACATGTTGTGAAAGTGATATTGGTTAATACTCCATCTAGCGATAATTCCTTGCTCCCTGCTGCAAGATGTGTATTATTATATCACTTCGGGTAACCGGCAGACCGCAAACACTCTGCGTCAAATACTATGAACATTATCACAATAATTCAGTTAAAACTTTTAATCAAATATAATTTGGTAGTAGTTATCAATTTGGACCAGACTACTATGTTGGTCAAGAGTGTTTGGTTGGCACGAGTTGCCGGTTACCCACCCATGGTAGTGGTGGTTTTACCCGCTGGGTTTGTCACATTGGGGCTGACCTTGGAATCACCTCCTCCGCTGCCACACTCTCCCTTGTCGTACCACCATTTGTTTTTCAATTTGTCCAACAGGCCTTGTTCATTCAGTTTTAACACTGCCAGGTTTACTGGGTTTCTTGAAATGATAACGACATAATATTTTGGTCAGTGTCAGCCCAGATAAACCATTTCAGAGACAGTGTGATGGGAGCACAGACTGATTAGAACACAACAGCCACTGCTCTATGTAGGTTGAAATGTATGGCGTTAGCATAGGTTTTGGCCTGAGTCTATATAAAAAAGGATGTTAACATGTGTTTTAATGGAGAATGATGCTTTTGTTAGTGGCCTTTGTGAAAGGCGGGTTTTATAAAGCCAAGAACAAGACATTTTTAGATAGAGGAAGAAGAGAGAAAAAAAGATGTCCTTAGATGTCCTGAGTGTTTACCGTCTGCTCTTGGATCTTTCCTGTTGGGGAATTGTGACTGTGAATTTAAAGCAACAGCCTAGAGACTGCAGTCCAGCCAGAATTAAAAAATCTGCTTTTTCTATGCCTTGGGCTAAATCTTTTTTGTCTTGTCTTCTTTATTCCATCAAACACCAAAGGGAATGTTTAGAGGAATGTTCATGCTACACTTTATCATGCACAAGAGTGCTTCAGTCATGGCATCTTAACCAGGAAATTAAATTCGCCACTAAATCCCGCATGAAGTTTTTATAACAGGCTTTTCTGAGGAAAATAAATCAATCACTTTACATTATTTTGATGTTTTAGTAATGTGGATTACACATATTAATATTAAAAATAGAATTTTTAAGAATGTTTCATTATAATAGTTTATGCTTTAGAAAATAATGTTACAGTACTCTCAAGTTTTGTTTATCACAGATCTTCGTTGCATCTCAGATTGGACATGTAAGCACTATTCTACGCCATTTTGTGTAATAAGTGTAAATAGTGCGTTCACACTGAAAAAAAAAAAAATAGTAAGTGCACTTTAAATACCTGGATGATGCACTTATTCAACCGTTAAACAGAAGTGTGGAATGTTGAACACTTCACGCATTCAACGGCAGCTACTTTGCTTACGTAGCAGAAGGGGCGAAGCTATAGGGCACTGATATTGGATTTTATGAAAGCAAAGTTCTCCTACGAGATTGACTATACCACCTCTCGATGGTTAATGCGGTTATATTCATGGCAGGTATTAGTTGGTAGTTTGGTCATTTATTTCAATAATTTGGCAACTGGCAAATGTCATCTGGGAAACCGTCTGAATTTCTGTTTAGTAAAAAAAACGCTAGCATTCTATTTGGGGCGACACTACATACATAAACTTAGCTGTTGAGAGTGTAAGTGCATAAGTACATTGTGCATAAGTGTACTGTATTCCAAGTCCCAGAAGTTTCAAATTTGACACTCTCTGGGGTTAGCATAGTTCGTATACTGTTTTTGCAAGTTCCATTATAATCATCATAGTTCAATGATTCAGTTCCAGTGAACATTTGCAAAGAGCAAATCGCTAAATATTTTCAGTAAATTATAACGTGTTCTATTTAATTCAATGCTTTTCTTTTTGAACAAAAAATAAAGACTAAATAATAAATAATTTGACCATGATTTACTGAAAACATCCTTGGGAATGTTATTTAGTCTACTTGGTTTAAATTTAAATGAATGTCATTTTCATATTTTTTTCACCCTCAAGTTTGTACCCCTCATCGATTCTGGAACAGAAATTTTCAGAAATGTTATATAAGAAGTTTTTATGGGAACATATCTTCAATGTTTGTAAAGGAGCAACATGAACATTCTACTAAAGTTCTCTTCCTACTAAAGCTGTCCTAAATTTTTTAAAGAAGGAGAAAATGGTAATAAATTAAATCAAAGATGCCGAAACTAGAGCCCCCGGGCCAAAGTTGGCCCATGGTAACCTTTGAATTGGCCCTCCATCCCATCTGAGAATGGTTCAGAGATTGTTGTTTGAAATTTAATGTAACCTTTTATTTGTTTGTTTTATTGTTAAGCTAAAAAAGCTTTCTCAAATTAAAAGTTTCAATATAAATGGTGTAAAATAATCAGATTTAGTTTAAAATGTACTTAGGATGCATAGAGGACAATGCACAGACTTTGGTGATCAAATCAAGGCCAGCGTTGAAGTCCATTGTGTTATAAATGATTGTTTTTATTGCAATAAGTTATAATAAAAAAGTTATACTGTGCTGCATTAAGTAATACAGATCGAAGTAATGTTTTCTATTTTCGTTTTAATATTATGAACGGAATTACCCATGGCAACTTTAATGTAATATAGTTTGATATATTTATCTTTGGCCCATGGATATCAATGATGTTTGGTTTTTGGCCCTTCATACGAAAAAGTTTGGGCACCACTGGATTAAATGGAATCTGACCAACATGACAGAAGATGACAAAATTAGATTTTTTATTTAATTTTAATCTCATCGTCCCCCAAGACTGATATCAAAAACCACATCTAGAGCATCTCACTCTTTTCATCTTCTCCTTCATCCTCAGGTCTTGAACACCCCATACAGTTCAAAGGCACAGACGTACATCTCCTCGCACCCTATGTAATCGGCTGTCCGATCACTGTTGCAAGAAAATGTCGTCTGCAGCTCTGCATGTGCAAGGAATAATTCTCTGGCTTGATAAAAACCCAGGATTTCTTTCTTATCCCAGAAGAAGCAGACAGAAAGAAGTCAGAGAGTGTCTCAGGAATGAGGAACAAACAGCTACATTCGGCCTGATGAGCATTTGTTTCAGGAGGTGGCAGTGCTTTTGGGTGAGATGATTTTATTGACGGAACTCTGAGAATGGGCACAGATGAATAGAGATAAAAGGGCGCACACATCAATCATCAAGACTGCGAAACAAACCGATTGCAGATGTCAGTCTGAGATAAGACAAAGCAAATGTGGAACATCTGTCAAAGTGCACCAAAACAACTGATTAGTTCATCAGTCAGTCAATTAACCTATAAAACATGAAGTGAAATAGAAGGTAACACAAGTTAAAAAGCTCAATTAACATCTAAGTGTTCATTAAAGCAGGGAAAGCCTAGTAGATCAGTATAAAAAGGGTCTGATAAGTGTCATTTAAGCTACATTTAGACTGCAAATGCTACTGCACAGATCTCACATCATTTATATTGATCTGGCAAAAATTAAACTCGTCACAGGAGATTGGTTATCATTTGAATCTTGGTTTAGTTTTTAAGAAGACACACAAACATTTCCAGGATGCAAGATCGCATCCATCTATGAATATGATAATGTGTAGTCAATAAAACTAGTTTTTAGCATGCTCATCTTTGCTTCATATGGTTAAACAAGTGGAGTCAAATGGATTAATCTTATTTTTTTCTGAACATTTTGTAGCTTTAAACTTAAACAATATTAATGGGGCAGAAATAGATCAAGTTTTGTCTTGTTTATGTACTAATAAGAATAATGAAAGTTTTATGGGTTTTGAACAACATGAGTGTAATTAAATGATGACAGAAAACTTTATTTTGTGGTAAAATAATTCATTTACATGCATTTAAAAAAATAACATCATTATACAATAACTTGCCTAATTACCCTAACCTGTCTGGTTAACCTAATTAACCTAAATAAGCTTTTAAATGTGATTTCAAGCTGAATAGAAGTGTCTTGAAAAATATATAGTTAATATTATGTGCTGTCATCATGGCAAAAATTAAAATAAATAAGTTATTAGAAATTAGTTATTAAAACTATTATGTTTAGAAATGTGTTGAAAAATATCTCCCCTTTGTTAAACAGTAATTGGAGGGAAAAAATAAACAGGGGGTTTAATAAGTCTAACTTCAAAAATGCAAACATATGCATACTTCATGCTTTTTGTCATTTACTATAAAAAAAAACTTAGTAAAATTCTCATGTTAGAATTATAATCATGCTGTCATATTTTATGAAACACAAATTAACATTTTACGCAAAAATGTCAGAAACGCCATAATCGATAATCACTTTTCAAGTTAAATACATTCATAAAAGTTAAATAAACTTAAAGTTTTGAAGTTAAATAAACTCATCTTTCTGCACCTAACATGATCTGATCTGTGCTGGATGATTATAATTTGACAGACAATATAAATACAGCCATAAAAGCCAAAGTTGCATATAAACATTATGGTACATTTTGACAGCCGCTCCACATGGTTAGTTTAGCAAGTCATAACTCAATTGAAATGCTCTCAGCATCTTCTGATTTTGACAGAAAACTCTCGCCTTGACCTCCACATGTTGTAATCATACCGCAGATGCCCATGCATTGCATCTACCAGTACATGTAAAGAAGTGTCTGTGAGGGAGTTGCTCTCTCTCAAAATCAGACAGAGACACAGCAGATAGAAAAACACATTTGCGAATTCATTTCCAAGCCTCTTTCGCTCTTGCTGTCACGGTAATGGCTAGCTAGTATTGAATTTAATTTGAGTCCTGCCCTAGGTGGCAAGATGGAAGTCAGTCATTTACATCTTGTATCCGATCGCTCTCTCTCACTCCATCCACGCTCTCCCCCCCTCTTAACTTGCTATAAGGTGACCCAAAAAATGACTGTACAATTGCTATGAGGTCGTTTCCCCAAGGAGCTTATCTTATTAGAGAGAGATGGAGTTATTGAGGTTATTTCAACAGCTCCAAATTGCCCTTGTGAGGCCCTTTGCACTGCAATGAATGTAATATCATGTGGGCCATGGTGTATTAGTCAGATGGGTATGTTCAAGCGCAATAAATGTGACGTTAATGATGGCGGCGCACAATTGAAATAACAACCGTTCACCTTATATAGCAGCGAACATATAAAAGAAGCGTGTTAATGTCGACATTCATCTGCAGAAGTGGCTTGCATAAGAATAACAACTGATTGCTCAATTTCTTTCATGCGCAAGTCACTCGGTGAGGAGCGAGCTTTCATAATTTGTAATGAAGGAGGAGAGCAAGTGAAATTAGCATCTGGTAAACCTATAGCTTCAAAGAGGCTGTCGTGAATAATGTTTGCGCCGTCTCAATGGGCGCTGCTGTTTTAATGAAAGGACGGCAAATGCACGTGTTTCCTTAAGAGCTTCTGAAGAGGTCACGTCACTTCCCTGTCATTTCTTATGCAAGCACTTCTGCTGGAGTGTGTTGAAAACTCCTTCAATAAACAGGAGGTACAAGGAAGATGTTGAACAGCTCCACACATACAAACGTTTACACCCAAACAATGTGTCCTTTTGTAGTAGAGGTTGCTTTGCATAAAGTTTTACCCTCACCTTTGGCTTAAACTAATTATTTAAAGGCGTCTAGTATGCTCTTTTACAAAAGCCGCTTGTCCACTATCAAGCCAAATGGTTCCATTTGCCTAAACGTTCCATTGTGTGGACCAGTCAGAGTGGATTTGGTTTCATTTTCCACAAATGGAGCACTCTGGAATGCAATACAAATGCACTAGTTCTTGCCTTTGTAAATTAAAGTGCAATGTAAACAGCAAAAATTGGATATTTTTGTTTTTGAGACTAAGTATTTCTGATATTTACTTAGCTGAATTGTGAATTGAATCATGACGCACCATTCCAGGCTTGCGTGGAAACACAAATAGAACCATACCTATCTGTTCTTGAGATGGTTCGGAATGATAGTGTAAAAGCAGCTAAAGTCATGACTTTGCTTGCAGTGTTCTAGGACGTATTCGCATGCTTGGTGAATGCTTTATTTTACGGACAATTTACAGCTTGATTAGTTAGTTTTTGACGGAAGCCTGCCTTCATAAAAATGAAATGTGTTGTAATTGGTTAGTTGTTCCAGTGCATTGTCATTGGCAAACCTCCTAGCTAGAGATCGGCTGGAGATCGGTATCGGGTGATAATCACATTTTATGACTCAATCGGTACTTGCCAATCTGGCCGACTTCATGAACCGATCGCAGGTGTTTGTTTACAGGTTCACAAGCAGAGAAAGACGCACGTGCACTCATCAGCAGTTACAACAAGTGATGAGGTAAATGATGTGTGAGGAGCGGTCCCAACACATCAGCTAAAATACATACAGGTGTAGTGCGGCCTCTGTTTATACAGTTTATTGGCGTGACTCGTGCAAGTGGTGGTTTCTTAAATGCAGCCAATGCATATCCAGTGTTTTGAGTTCTGCTTATGCAGCTCCATGACGACTGCGAATTAGATAAAATACCCTAGAAATCATGGAGACGTGAGTAAATTAGCAAGAGAACAGATCGTGAGAGGCACGATTATGTTATAAGCATTACATTTTTTAGGTTAGACGAACAGTACATATCTCAAGCGCACATCCTTCTCTTTCATCAAGCGATCGAGCTGTTGTGAGGCTGTGCGGGGCTTGGAATTACAAGCATTTATTTAGGCCTTTTTACATATATAAGAACTGAAAGTTCTATGTTTTTGACAATATTGCAAGATCACTTAAACCTGACTGAAAATTTTAATCAAATAAATTAAAAAAAAGCGTTAAAATATTTTTTAAAATCTTGAATATTTAAAAATATACCTTTTTGTAATATACTTATTGCAATAACCAAATATGTATTTATAGGTGTGCATTTTAACTTCTTATGCATCAATTATGCACTCCAGCATTTCTCAATGATGAAAATGTTTGAATTGTTCTTCCATTATTTGCAATGTTTCTAAATTTCTTTGTTAGTCATTTTTCTTACCTTTTTTTTTAAATCTGCTTTATTTACTATTTTCTGTAAAGCTGCTCCTGACCATGACATGTCCACACTAAATGGTTATAAGAGACATGTTTAATGGATTATATGCAACATCTTTAATGTATTCTCTTAGATAAGGAGAGATCATACTTAAATGATCTCATACAAAATCTTGATCAGAGTATATCAAAGTTTTTTTTCAATACTGACATGCCCCTTTGAAAATCAGCAAGTTCCAGCTGCACTGGTATAGTTAACTCAAGCATTTTCTGTAACTGTAAGTTCCTAATTAGTAGCTTACAGTTGCACTTATTAGTGATAAATAAAATTGGTAAATTTGGCTATATTTGTCTGGAACAGATTTGCATACTTATTTAAATGATATCCCATCTATTCATCTTTTCTGTTATTTAACTTTTATTAGCCACGGTAAGGATAACGCCTCAACACTGTATGCAGCCTCTACCACAACTGAACCACCATCTGATGTTATTTCATGACAGTTGAATCCATGCAGTCACAGTAAACAGTGGAAAGCCGCCTTTACCTTAAAGGGGAACCTTTGGGGGTAGCAATACCGTAGCCTTTGGAGTCCAGGTTCCCTCCAACCTTCATAGTGTCGCAAGGTTTGCGCTGCTCGATATACTCGTTCATGGTGGACTCCAGCAAGTATGCATACTTCCCTTTGGATTTCCTCACCCGCATAACTCCTTCATCTGTGGTTTTCACAAACACTGAGGGATCTGCTGACTTCATGTAAGACCACATCTTCTCAAAGACTGCAATCTTTGACCTCTGAAAGAGAAAAGAGAACTTTTTTTTAAATTTTTTTATTTTTTAGCTATTTTTAACTATGGCTGGGTGATAAAATGATTACAATAATTATGACAGTACAACCTTGATATACATGATTAATACATGCTTAATTTAATGTTTGTGCCTCAGACTGGACATATAGATGACAATTTATACTTTTATTAAAATTATTTTGTTATTATTAAACAAATCTTGAGTGTCCTCAAACTTGGGGAACAATATCCTGTTTTATGATCTGTTGGAACAAGCAGGAACAAAGAAACAATTTTTTATTTCTGTCAAGATATTTTGTTAAGGAAAAGGCTGGCAAAAGATTTTAAGTTTACTCAATACAAGTTTAAATTAATTTGATTAATATTCATCCTTATAAATGTTGTAATTTGTAAAATGTTGGTTGACAAAAGAAGAACAAGAGAGAAAAAAGTAGTTTTATTTAACAATTAACTGTCTGTCTTTCACTTAAAAACAAGCAATTAACCTGAAAGAAATAGAGATATCAACAGATATAAAATATTTTAATGAGATAATATTTTGGTTATATCGCCCAGACTTATTTATTATGACCATTAAATAAGGTTTTGTTAAGGTTATTTCAGTTATTATGGTTGTTAGAATAACATTTCTGTTTTAGGTGAACATTTCCCATGATTCCTGGCTTTGTCTCACCCTGAAGAACTCTTTGGTGGAGCCTGCGTCCAGAGTGCCGTAAGCAATCTCAGTCTGTTTGGCCAAATCTTCTGCACTCTCGATGGGCGACACCATCCTCTCTACTGTGAGAAATGCAGCAAGGTTGGCTGTGTACGAGGAGATGATGATTAGCGTAAAGAACCACCACACACCACCCACGATACGGCCAGACAGAGACCTGTGGAAACATACAAATACTGGTAAATACAAACATACCCACATACAATCCCTCTTTTAAGTTTTGGTATAATTAAAATTACATAATGATGATTTTATTATGAAAATAATTGGACAATGTTTTATCTTAATTGTTAAACACTGTAATAATGTTAAAACATATTAAAGTACAAAAGTGAAATAAAAAAGTCTTAGTGTTTTTAGAAAAAAAGAATGTCATCATAGGTCTCAAACTCAGTTCCCGGAGAGCCGCAGTTCTGCACAGTTTTGCTCCAAACCTAATCAAACACAGCTAATCTAGTAGTCCAGAACACCTTGACTAGTTGGATCAGCTGTGTTTGATTAGGGTTGGAGCAAAACTGTGCAGAACTGCGGCTCTCCGGGTATTGAGTTTGAGACCTACAGTATGATATAAACTAAAAACTATAAAGACATTCTTTTAACTCGCAGTCACATTTTTTTCAACAAAATGTACTTAAATATTACTGTTATGTTATTATATTATATATTTATATATTTATATATATATTATATATTATAATATGTAAATAAATTATATGAATATGTGACTCAATTCAATTCAAGGGAATTTGTATAGCGCTTTTTTCAATAATTATTGTTTCAGCAGCTTTACAAAAGTTGCACATTATTGCATTACAATCAGATTAAGTTAAAGTTACCATCAAAAACAAGATATTTACATAGTTAACCTGCAAATTTATTGCAGTTTGCATTAATTAATAGTAGTTTTTGTATTTATTAACATGACAACATACAATGCTTGGATTCAAAGAGGCTGTCAACAAAACTTAGTCTTTTTGAACTCACAATGAAATAACTAATGTTAATAAGAACCATTTTGGATTTGAATAATTGGATTTGAATAATGCATTAGCAAATGTTGAACTATAATTAAACATTGCAGTAGGGTAAAATAAAAGAAAGTTTTGCAATGAAAAAATAAAGCATTGAGCAAAAAATAAATAAACAAATGCAAATCTCCAAATATCGCGAAGCGAAAATAATTTTTTGTGAATTAGAAATGAATTTTACTAACAAAAATAAGGAACTGCAAAGGGAAATTATGTTTTGAGAAATAAAAATGAAATTTGCAAACAAAAAAAGAACATCAAATAAAAAATTCAAGCAAAAAAAATAATAATAAAAAATGAAATATTTGCAAATTAAAAAAAACTATAGTCAAGAGAATTTGGGCTTTTACGGCAGGCCTGGACCTTCTGGTGATACTGTTTCTCCAGGTGATGACTTCATATAAATGGTGGCAGGTCTGGGTGTTCCTTTGACTGCACCCCCTTGTCAAATCAGGGCCACAAAGTAAAATGAGCAGAAACGTGAAGTGCAAAGTGAAAATAGCATCGCAAACTCACCGTTGACTAAAATTTATTATTTTACTGCTTGGTTTTTATTTGCAGTTCGTTTTTGTTTGCAAATTTCATTTCTATTTCTCAAAACTTAATTTTCCTTTTAAAGTTCTTTGTCTTTATTAGCAAAATAACTTTTTATTTATTTAATAAATTTTTTTGGGGAGATTTGTATTTATTTATTTATTTTTTGCTCAATACTTTATTTTTTGTTCGCAAAACTTTCCTTTCATTTTGCAAGTATATATGGCCCTAGATTGACTCCATATTGTTCATTCTTAGTTCATGTAAGTAAACGCTTATTGTAAAGTGTAACCAAATAATTTTTTCCTCTAATATCATTTTCAGTGTCATCGCTTCAGTTTACAGTGTTTAATGATCCTACAGAAATTATTCTTATTATGGTGATTTACTGCTCCACAAACATCTAATATTATGTACTGCATATAGATAAAACAGTGCAGTATATTAATATCATTCATTTATCTGTTATCATCATAACATAATTATTAGTTTATCAATGTCATGCAGAATTTTAATCAGGTGCTGAAAATGTTGTATCTGTGATCGAGAACCGAATGGATATCACACGCTCAAATGAAGACCCATTAAGAGTTTATCAAGTGTACTCATTCAAAAAATCAAATCTCATTCAGCGGAGCACTGAACATTTTCTACACCCTAACTGCATTACAAACGCTGGCCTGCATGGAGATTCTTCATGCACGCCTTGACGCTTACAGTGGTTAAAAGTCTAGAATGTTTGATACGCTGCTCCCCGTCTCCACTCAGCTATAAACTCTTAGCGAAATGTGCTGAGAGCAGATAAGAACTATCACAATGCAACTCACCAGCAGCGCATTAATCTCACTTTTAGGAAGTTGCCAGTATGTTAAACGAATAAATGCATATTAATTGCCGTGGGTTAATTGTGATGAGAGCTCTCAGCTACTACTGTAATTGCACTTTAACCAAAAACAATTATAATATATTTAAAAAAACGGATTGTCCAAATCCCCTAGGATGCAAAACTCTCTCTTGAGTGAGTCTAAGCAGTTCACAACTAGAGGTAAAAGGTTTCAGGGAAAGCTGTTGTTCGATATGTGTGCTGGAACAGAAAAAGCTGCTCAGATAAAACTCAGAAACAAAAACAAATGCAAGGTTTAATCATGTAAGCTGTGAGGGAGGCGAAGCCCGTCGTGATGAAAGGCTGACGAGATTGCAACCAAAAGAAATATAAAAGGCAGGAACCTGTGAACCCGCCGGATGTGCGGAGATTGTCAAAAGGGCGAATAAACGTGTGCTTAAGAGAAAAGCATAACGAATATTTGATTTCATTCTTCAAAGGCAGAACTGAGATATCTCCGCTCACCAATTCCAATTTCACAAGGATAAAAACTGAAAAAACAATTTCACCCCTGGACAAATCCTGGCCAGAACATCATGTGAAAAGAATAGCTTTTTAACATCTCTTAGTTTTTTTTGCCAGTCCTTTGGGGGTGGTCTCTAATCCCATAGCCCGAATTAAGCTCAGGCAGGCATGTGAGATCAGTTTAATGCCTCTGAGGGAGTTCTAGATGGTCCACCTGCAGGACTAGAAGGCATAAACGAAAGCAGGGCCGCTCTCCCCTGAGTTCCTGGCAGACAGGCGGCGTAATCCTTTCTCTCTGCTGGAGTAAAAAGCGAGGTTAACTGTGTACATGGTGAATCCACCTTGATAGGGGATAACTAGGGTAGCCAACTGGTCTAGTGAGACTGATTTAAAACCTGAACTCTTAAGCCCAAAGTTTACTTTAGTTTTTGTTGGTTTGCGTGCAGGATTTTTGCACTTCCAGGATTGCTGAATTTATCTCAAATTCAAGCAATTGTAGCAAAAATTGGTGGAGCTTGCATATGTTTTAAACTGCCACAGATTTCCCCTATATTTTGGACAGTCAGGACACCTGTGGTGCCACAGAGCGCCATCTGCAAACATTTTTTTTAACTCAAAGACATTTTAGTATTCGCCTATGAGCTTATCGGATGTGCAAACCGTTTAATACATAATGTAAATCATATGTTGCTGGTTTATATGGTTTTGGGCTTGAACAGAGCAATTCAAAGGCCAGTGGCCAAGCACTCATGTATTATCTGCATTTTCACTTCAGGAAAAATTAGTTTGAGCGGACACAGATAATTTAATTACTATTCAGAAGCCTGACAGATTATTAGTAGCAACAATAATCTTTTTATTTATGCAAAACATCCAATTATTTTGTTTGCAAAAATAACTTTTTTTTTACATTAAACATTAATGTATTACATTAATACATTAACTTGAAACTTTTCTTTTACATTAAAGCTGAAATGTGACCTTTTTTTACAAGATGACCTAAATTTTAAGCAATTGTGTAGTTTGTTTGTAGTTGTTTAATTATTTTAATATCACAAAGAATACAAACGCCCTCTGTCTTTAGAAAAATACCATTCCAAGTGGAGTGAATTTACAGTATAAACGATAACAATGAACTATGAGAGGAAAGAACAAGTAAATAAATAATTACACTAAAATTACAAGAATCATTTAATAATCGAAATCAAGGTTTTGATTTTGGGTCAAATCATCCAGTCCTAATAAACCTGTTAACATAAGAGTAGCCTTCTCTCTCTGGCTCTCTCGCTTTAGGGGTGAACTCTCTCTTTCTCAGTTTCTCTCAATCAGTACGTTTATATGGACACCAATAATTAGATTTTAATACAATTAAGCTAATACTCTGATTAAGAGTCTACCATGTAAACAGCGAGTTTGGATTGATTTAATCTGATTAAGGTCATAATCAAACCAAACAGAAATTGGATTAAGACATGGGAAGTATGAGGATTTTAGTGGCATTATTGAAGTGCAGCACAGACATGTAAACACCGCAATTAAACTATTACTGTTACTGTATGTAGGATTTTCTGCGAATTTTGCGACAGGATAGTCAATACACACACGGCTGTTTGACATTATTCTCTTCACCTACTGAGTCACTGAAAGACCACAGTCACCTGCATCTCAGAATGCAGAGGTTTTTCCCAAACAACATGCGGTATCAAATTCTATTAAAACAACACTCTTCAGCAGTTCATACTCGCATCCAATATCTTGTTCTTGTATAATGTTCCTGAAAGAAAGTGAAAGTGCCAAACTGCAGTTAAATTTAAAATCAAATACCCGAAATTACACGAAACTCCAGAGGAAATGTGGATAGCTCAATGACGCAATAATGCTAATGGAATGACGTGCTATAACATTTAAAACGGGATCATAAAAAGAACCTTCATAAAGCAACTCATGTAAACACCTTAATCATATCATTGTCTTATTCAGATTAAGGCAAATAATTCAGTTACTAACATCAATTTAAACGTAGTCAATGTTACCTTTATATAAATTACAAAGAGACCAATAGTTCTCGAGATCAAAAAAATTACTAATGAATTAACATGTGTAAATTAGCGTATTCGATTTACATAGCATATAACAATAAAAAATGCTGCAAAATGAGCAAAAACTCAACACAAAATCAGTCAGTTTAGCTTTAAATTAGGAGGATAATCGCAGAAAACATTAGCAATCAGTTTGCACTTTGCATGC